CCCCCCGCCCCAGCCTGTAATAGAACGTCAGAGTCCCGGGCCCGGCGTGGCACGTGGGAGTCCACCGGAAGCCACAGCGCGTTGCATCCCTGCATCCCTGTAGCAAGCTGGGCTCTCCCCACTGCCGAACGGCCTGCAGTCCCTGTCCTAGCATCAGAGCTTAATGCGTGCCAGGGCAGAGTCCTGGCCCCCGCCCTGGCGGTGCCCGAGCCCGGGCCCCACTGGGCCTTGCTGCCTCAGCTCTGAAGGTAAGAGAAATGCCCACCGGAAGCCACAGCGCGTTGCATCCCTGCATCCCTGTAGCAAGCTGGGCTCTCCCCACTGCCGAACGGCCTGCAGTCCCTGTCCTAGCATCAGAGCTTAATGCGTGCCAGGGCAGAGTCCTGGCCCCCGCCCTGGCGGTGCCCGAGCCCGGGCCCCACTGGGCCTTGCTGCCTCAGCTCTGAAGGTAAGAGAAATGCCATGAGCCGCAGCATTTTGTTCATCACAAATGCAGCCCTGCCCAGCCCCTTTCCCCTGGGCACCCCCGCTGCTGGGCAGACGGGCTCGTGCCCCACACTCCCCCTGAAGAGGAGAGCGTAACTGTGCGCCCCTGTGACACTGGGGGAGCGGTTCCGGGGCTTGCTCCAGCCAGAGGGACGGGGGATGCTCCCTGCTTCAACCACTGGGCCATACTCCCTCCCCGCCAGGCCAGCCTGTGGGCTTCGGCGCTTTCCCGGGTAGGATCTGGGCCGCAGGGAGCGGGTTGCCTGGGGCCGGAGTGGGGGATATGGGCCTCATTCTCTCTCTCTCTCTTCCCCAAGAACTCCACCAAGGTGATGTTCAAGTGCTTGTGGAAAAGCTGCGGCAAGGTTCTGAGCAGCTCCTCCGGGATGCAGAAGCACATCCGGACCGTCCATCTCGGGTAGGTGCCCAGGGGCCCGGTGGTACCCGGCAGCCTGCGCTGGAGGAGGAGGGCTGGGCAGGAAGAAATCGCATCCTATGGGCAGGGCGGGCTCCCCCCAAGTTCCTCCCCCAGTCTCCCCATCTCTTGCCTCTGTAGTTGGTGGCTTCCGGGTTACTTCTCCCTTCCTCGTCTCCCACTCCTACCCTTCAGAAAGCCTCATGCCGCAGCCTCCTGTCTTGGAATCCATCAGCACCATCCCTGCCCTTAATCAACCCAAGATCCCTGAGCCACCCCCTCCCAGTCCCGAGCTACCTTCTCCCGCTGGCCTCCCACGGGTAGGTTGGGTTGCTCGCAGGAGGCAGGCCAGACCCATGGCCTTGCCCCCAGGGCTGGGTCGGAGCTGGAAATGCCTCCCAACACCTGGCCTGGCTTTCCCTGTGCAGCCGGAAAGCCGACCTGGATCAGAGCGATGGCGAGGAGGACTTCTACTACACGGAGCTGGACGTCAACGTGGACTCCCTGACGGACGGGCTGTCCAGCCTGACTCCCGTCTCGCCCACCTCATCGGTGCCCCCGGCCTTCCCTGTCCTGGAGGTGCAGCAGACCCCGCCGGTGCTGGTCAAGCCCGAGGATTCGGTGGAGTCTCCTCTCAGTCATTCAGCTCCAACCAGCTTGTGCCACGTCCACACCGACCACGCCTACCAGGTGGGCCGCGTGGACTGCGCTGGTGGGGGAAGGGCGGGGTGAGGCATGCTGGGAGCAGAGGTGGAAGTGGGTGAGACGTGGCCGCCGGTACCGGCCAGCGCGGGGCTGCTGATGGGGGCCAAAAGAGCAGCAACGTTAAAGCGCTGCCGTGGCAACGCTCTAAAGACCCTACTGGCAGGGCTGCCGTGGGGGAAGGGGGACGCAGAAGGGGTATCCGACTTGGGACCTGGCGACTTACAAGGGCCCAGGGTTCTCGGCCACTGTGGCAGCAGCTGGAGCCCCAGGCCTGTTAAATGCAGGGGTGATGGGCTGGCTGGGGGATCCAAGTGATGCTGAAAGGCTGGCAGGAGTGGACTAGTCTCCCAGCTCCACCCTCGGTAAGATTTTTTTTCCTCCTTTCACCCGTGGCTGGGACATGTGGTCTCCTGGATCCCAGAGCTGGGCTCAGTCCCTAGCAAATCCACAGAGGTTTCCCACATTGGCCCTACCGAGTGTCCCTAGAACAAGGTGCATCTCGCCTGCCTCAGACCGTACAGCCGGCTTTTTCACACACGGCTCCCAGAGGGTGCTTGTGGAAGCAGGCCGTGGCGGTGGTGTAGGAGATGCCTTTGGACTGTGGTCCCCCACAGCGTCCCCATGTTGGGAAGGAAGTGCCTGTGTGATGCAGAGTGCTGTCGCGAGCTTGTGGAACTCCCTGCTGCAGGAGGCAGGGTTGCCTAGTGAGACACAGGCCTCTTGAGCTTGGCTCTCCCAGAAGCGTGTTCACCTGGGGTTTGTATGGGGGAGCCAGGCGTGGGAGCCGAGCTGTCTGATCTGGCTGCGCTGAGGGGGCGCCGTGGCACAGGTCACGTCAAAGTCCAGCTCGAGGCTGGCTGGAGGTGGGGGAAGTGTCAGGGAGGACAGGAGACGAGAGCTGCAGTTGCAGGGTAGAAGTGACCGAGGGCTGTGGCACCTCTTGGATCGGGGCAGAAACGGCTCCACAGCTGGGCGGGTCCCTCCTTGCCCACTCTGTGTGGGTTTGGGGGAGGGGGGGGGTTAGTCCTTTCTTTCCAGCGTGTGGCCTGAGCCTTGGGAGCCAGGACACGGGAGGGAGTGGGCAGCCCCTGCGTTAGTGCAGCCAGCCCGTGGGAGCTGACGCGTCCGGGGGCAGGAAGGGTCTGAGAGTGGGTTGATGCCCAAACCGTGCTGGACTTGGACTCCCTCTGTGCATCTCTCCTGACTGCCTCCCCACCCAATCCCCCCCCCACACACACGCCGCTGGAGAGCGGGGCCCGGCCCGGCTAG